GAACTAAAACAACACTTCAATCAGTTCAACGCCGTAGAAAACAGCAACTACTGTGGATAACAATGTACAGTTCCGATACTAGTGCTCGTAAGTTACGCACTTTGCAGTCCGAATGATGTTTTATGGCCTCCTGCGATAGTATCAACAGCAAATGCCTATTTAAGGAGCAGTTAAAGTAATCAACTTCCTTATCAAATGATCAGAACAAATGTGAGACCGCCGCTACGTGATTGATATAAATAGCCCAAATCAACGCTGTTCTGAAATACCAGGACCATCCAGTTTACTTAAATGATGAAACGGTTAAATGGGGAATTTCAAAACAAAGACTACACGTCAACAGCCAAAGTTTTCGCCATATCCTCGCCTCCTTAGGTGAGACAGTAGTACTCGAAAGCGGTCCCAATAATAGCACCCTGTTAACGGCAACTACTCGCTGGTAGAACTGTTGATGATTCACTTTTTAGAAACTGCTTGAGAGTAAGCCAGAACGGGAGTACTAATTGCCGCTAAAACAAATAAATCTTGAAAGACAGCTTGGAAGCTGAAAACAGGAGAGGCCACAGGTCGCCACATCAAGCCTGTCAGCGCTTGTCTGCAATATAAAACACAGACCATGAAAATAAAGAACTAGTATCTCATGTGATTCCCATTACAGCTCAAATAACTTCTGCCTAACAAAGGAAAGCAGAACAAGTAGCGTATGAAGGATGTCTCTCTCTCGCTCTATCAAACTGGCCGCATGCCACACCTTCAGGCACTTTTCAAAGCACTCAAATCGCGTCTTATCTGGGCTTAAAAGATGCATTCTGAGTCTTTAATTTCCTAAGCAGCTTGAAATTTTTAAAAAATACCTCACATAATGCTCAATGTAAAGAGAAGAAAACGAAAATAAACTAACGTGTCTGGTGAATGCGATACACTCGGGCTATAGTTGTTCAGTGAAGAGAAGCCTCGACCACTTGCGCGAAAACCAGAGTAATGATTTGACGGCCCACTAGTTGATGGCGCTGACGAAATGCCCTTAGGTGGCTTAATACCCGGTGACTTCAGTACATGAGAAGGCCTCGAAGGTTTCTGCAAAGCCAATTTTACAACAGATAGGAAATAGTGGAAATCTTAGGTCGAATTGCAATTTCAAACACTGTTTAACTCAGAACTTGCCTAGATCCAAACCCAGTTTTGGTTTATGATGGTAACTCCCACCAGTAACTGTATCAATGCTTGATTATAATGCAAAATAATTTAGAAAGGAGATGACTGCTGCAACTAAAATCCGAAATTCTAAATGCAGGGCTGCCTTTTAGGGTGTTATGAAAAGGAGATAAAGCCAAGTTACACCACAGACACGCGAGGCAAAAACTTCACGCCAGAGATGAAGTGCTAATCCAAGTAGATGCTGGTCTGGAGAGCCGGAAATACAAATGTTCACCGGTGATATGTATCCGACACTCCTAAAAGCTAGTAACAACTCAATACAAAAAATTCTGAAGAAATCAACAAAACCCATGATTCTGCGAGAAGAGTAAAAAATCAGATTACAATAACCCAAAAAATTTTACTATTAAATGTAGTTAAAATCCGCTCAACAACTTCATAAAGATTGTTAGTGCCACGGAAAAGGAACCAATGATCTACCAGCGGATACATGAAGTAAGAAATATTGAGAAAACGAAAACTAAGAAAGCTCTCTTTCTAGACTTGATGAAGATTAGTCAGCGCTAAATCTCGTTTGCGCAGGAACTTCGTAGGTACCAAAGCGAGGAGAAGGGTCCTTCCCGCTAAAATAATACAAGGAACAAATTCGAAAAGATTGCTCTGGAAGCATCGTAAAAATACAACTTTGTTTAAACAGAAAACGCCGCTGGAAGCAAAAACCAGAGAACTGTGCCGGAGCAATAAAAAAATGTACAGGGACATAAAATAAGAACAAAAAAAAATGTCTTGAAGTTAGACTGAATAACACCTGGAGCCTTAAAATAACTGAGAGATGGCAAGCACCCCGCAAACAGATTAGCGGCGCAACTCGCAACCACATTTCTGCACACCATCGGAGAAAATTTAAAGAGCCAGAAAAAAAAAACAAACAGTGAATTCCATTTTGTCCGGATCTTTTGGTTCCAGCTTCAAAGACTGCTCCCACATGTAGGTCTCCAACGATTCTTTCCCACCAAAACCATTAAGCGGATTGATCGTTTCGAAAAACTGCTGAAAATTTCATCAATGTGGAACAGCCTCATATTTCTGTTCTTTCAGCAATGAAAAAAAAGGATTAAATTAGACAAAACGAATAGGTTTTTTTTTACCAAATACTTCTTCCGCCGGCAAGCACAATGCGATGGGTAGTAGCACTGTTGTAGTGTAGTAGGTCAAGAGTTCGTCTCCACCGGTGATACAACCAGTGTCTCTACGATTCGTTCATCTGTTTTAATGGTACAACGGTACCGGCATATGTCAGGTAGTCAGATTCGCCGTTAGCTCATTTTTAAGCAATTCTGAGGAGGAGCCACTGACCGGTTTGCCAGCAGGTGGCTGCTGTTAGCATTTGTTATACTCAGGCTAAATCCTGAACACTTCTATCTCTTTATGACGGAACAATTCTGCAGCAGTTATCTTCGTTCGCGGACGAGACGACAAGCTGGGATGGCCTTTTCTGTTCCTTTTTTATTTAAATTTACCATATGGTTACTTATTTTAGTCCAGTTATCAGTAACACTTTTTACTTATCCCCAAGCGATGCCTTACTCACAATCTTTTTTGAGATTATGACGGTACACTAACAGTGACTCATCACAACTTCTACACATATAAGCTGAAAGGAAAACATCGACTACACACTGATCACTTGATTCCAGCATCTTGTGAATTAGGCTTTAGTACAGTTTTGATAAATTTTTCTTGATTCCCTACTTTTTTGTAAATACTTAGAAGACAATGAAGATAGTGGGAGACAGAGAAAAAGCACTGAATAAAGCATTCAAGCAAAGTGCTGCACAAAACTTGTCTTGGAAAATCGGCATGAAACAACAGACGCATGCTGATATTCCTTCTACCAAATCTTCAGATTAAGAGACCATGGCTCAGTGTACTGTCTGTTTTCAACATTCTGCAACGACTATCTTCGAAGTAAAAAATTTTTTTTATTGAGGACCTTGATCATCTCCTCTTACTGCATTTTATCTGTCCTGTCGACAAAATTCGATTCACAGTTCGCTAACTCACTGACTGGAATGTGCGTGGCGGAACAAGATGGCCCCGAAATAACAATTTGGAACATCGCAGTGAGCAGTGAAAAATCTTTTACACTTCCAGAAATTGTTGCGACTCAACCAGAACTCAGAGGACCTACACATGACAAGCCTCGATATTAGATTCAAGTAAGAGGAATCCGGTAACGTGCGAATACAGCAAAAATGAACTGACAAAGAACAGAACGTACCAAACAAAAAAGAAAAAAGGCTGCAGCTTAAACGCCGAGAATTTAAATCTGTCACTGAAAGGCTGTGATCACCTGCTTCATTTAGGTGTTCTGTGGCAAAGAAGGGATATTTTAATATAAGCACTAATCAGGCTACAGTGCGGCAGCTCTGGAAACGTTTCTGCTGAGTTCCAGTAATCCCACTACCAACAGCAGCGAGAGGCATTGTAAAGCAAAAAAATTTCTTAAATACAGCAGGTGTTTGTACGTCTTTATGCGAATTACTACACCCACACCTTCGGCAGCAGTATTCATAACTGATGGACGGAGTCGGAACAAAACTATGTATGCTTTCATCGGCACGTAGAAATTTCGTATAATACACACAAAAAAAAAAAATACTTGAAACTTTCGGAAAACTAGTATCAATAAACAGCGTCGCGCACTAGAGCAACCGGTGCGGTCATGCGTTTTGTGCAATTCCGTCCACCGAACGACTGCCTGCTAATGATTTCACTACTTTGCATTTTGTTCCGTGCAAAAATGGCTGAAATGTTGCCTGTTCCCTAAGTTGCGGAATTTCCCATTAAAAATTTCATACACCGTACATTAAAGCAAAATTTGGAATCTCGAAGGGTGAATATCCTTTCACAATTTCAGTCTCCTAATTTTCTGGTATTCGAGTGACTTCTGAAACAAAACTTTCACGTTTTCGTGCGTGAGAGCCCAGCATGCTTAGGAAGTGAATTCGAGTTTGTGAAGCCCCTGCTTAGGCAGAAAACATTCTGCTGAAATTTTCAACCTCCCAGCTCTTCCGACTTTCGAGATAACGAGTTTTCCTGCCAAAACTTCCACGGGAACGTCGAAAATTTGCGCAGTCGCAGGTGGGCGGGGGATGCCACGCTAAAGTTTCAGCTTCTTAGCTTTTTTAGTTCATGAGATAATAGTAATTTCCCTACCAAAACTTTCAGAGGGCCGAACGTGGCATCCACGAATGCGCAGAGTCCAAATCTGCGAGGTCGTACAGGGCAAGGGGACATTACCCCAAAATTTCAGCCTCCTAGATTCCGTTCCGTGGTTCCCGGGATAATCTCCTCAGCCGAAAGTTCCATGGGGCTATAAGTGGTACTCGAACGTGCGGGAAAAGCTGAATTTAAATCTGCGGGATTGTATGTGGGCGAGGGCGAAGGGGGGGGGGGGGGGGGGGGGGG